GGAGAGAGAAATGGCGAAAGAGGTGTCTTCTGTTTCTGAGAGCTCGTATGGTCTTTTATCGTGGGCTAGAACAAAGCTTGTTTAAAATTACTTCACATGGCTTACTTTTTCCGGTTTTCCTACGTAGCATGGGGACGGTTTTTGTTAGAGTCATTTGTTAATGTGAGGTGAGCAAAATCGAGCCGAAATAAAAAATCGAACCAAAACTGAGCAATTCGGTGCGGTTCGGTTCGGTTTCATTTTCAGCTCGTTTTTTTATATTGCGGTACGGTTATTGTTTTCCATAAGTTCGATTTTTGGTTTTGTTCGGTTCGGTGCGTTTGGTGCAGTTTTGCACCGAACCGCATCAAATTAAATAAAATATAGAGAAAAAACCGAGAAAAAACTGAAAACCGAACCGAACCATGCATTTCAGTGCGGTTCGGTTCGGTTATTTTATTGAGAAAAAAAATTGGTTCGATTTTTTCTAAGTTGCGGTGCGGTTCAGTTATTTTTTTTTTGCTATGTTCAGTTTTCGGTGCGGTTTTTCACCGAACCTGTTGAAATGTTGAAGTTCAAGGAGGATTTATTGCGTGCATGTTTATGCATATTCATGTTGTTCGGTTTTATCAGTTTTTTTATTTGTTTGCTTTGTTTAGTTGTTAAGCGTGCTAACGCTTTTATTAGTGATGTCGTGCGTTTTTTTATTTTCTGTTCTTTTATCTTTGTTGTCTGGCACGTGTTCCATTGTAATCGAGCATGTGTGAGCTGAGGGAATTCCTTTAATTCCCAATATGTTCATCTTCCTCAAATAGATTTTCAGATTTGGATAAAAATGTTGTGAGCTTGGCAAAAATGGCGATCTGCTTTTACTTTTGATATTGCTTTCGATTCTTCAATTTTCATATACACATTTCTACATGGTATCTAGAGCGGGTTAATTGGTCGATTCTGTTCATAATCAATGGCGCATAACAGAGACGAGCATGGGAGAGAAATTGTACGCAGCACATACGCGAGAGATATCGATCCGTTGGCTCTTCATGGATCTGACAGTCCTGGGTTAATACTGGTCACAAATCAGCTCACCGGCGCAAATTACTCACACTGGAGCCGAGCAATGAAGCTAGCTCTCAGCGCAAAATCCAAACTCGGTTTCATCCATGGAAAAGTCGAAATTCTAGAGCAGAACACAGATGACCATACACAGTACCAGAAGGTAGAATCTATGGTCATATCTTGGCTGTTAAATTCAATTTCGAAAGATATTGTTGAGGCCTTCATATATGTTAAATCTGCCAAACAATTGTGGGATGAGCTAGCTGAGAGATATGGTGATAGCAATGGTCGTCTTAAATATCAATTGCAGAGGGAGATAGCCAACTTTTCTCAAGGAACTCTTTCTGTTACCGCATATTTCACTAAACTAAAGTGTCTATGGGATGAGTATACATGTCTTATTTCATTACCTGAATGTGTGTGTGGTTCAAGCAAAGCTATCTCTGAAAATGAAATGGAAATCAAACTCATCCAGTTTCTTATGGGTCTGAATGAAGTATTTGAACCAGTAAAGAACCAAATTCTCTTAATGGATCCTCTGCCAACAGTTAACAAGGCATACTCTATGATCTTGAAAGTGGAAAAGCAAAAGAATGTGGTGACAGGTCTGTCGAATCCACTTGAAACTTCAGCAATGTTGGTTAGGGGAAATTTTGGCAGAGGTTCAAACTTTGGCCGTGGAAATAGTGGAAGAGGACAAGGAGGGCAGTTTTATAATAATGCTGGGAGAGGTAGGGGTGCACCTAGACTGTCCAAAGAAGAAAGAGCAAAATTATTCTGCACACATTGTGGATATAATGGACATGAGGTCCAAGGGTGTTTTAAACTTAATGGATACCCAAATTGGTACAAGGAACTCAGGAAGCAAAGGCAAGGACAGATCATCAATATGGTTGAAGGAGATGATCTTTCAAAGACAGACTCAGAAGTAAAGTCACAACATAGGGCCAGTTCAACAGACATAAATGCTTTGGCCAGAGAAGTTGCCAAATATATGTCAATGCAACAGGAAGCTGAAACACATACCTTTTCACATCTGGTGGAGTCTTCAAATCAAACAGAAGGCTATGTCTTCTCCTTGTTTAACACATTGAATAGAGGGAGCTGGATAGTGGATACTGGAGCCAGTAAACACATTTGCTCAAATCTTGATTTGGTAACTTGTAGTGCAGAAACATCCATACCAGTGACAGTCAACTTGCCTGATGGTACAAAGTTTGAAGTAACTAAAATTGGTGAAGTGCAATTGAATGACAAAGTATTGCTCAAAAATGTCTTGTTGGTGCCTGAATTCAAATATAATCTTCTTTCTGTGGGACAGCTGATAGAAGACAATGGTTTAAGTTTTAGCTTCACAAGTAAGGGTTGCAAGCTTCTTGATAATGCTCATAATGCAGTGATAGTTGAAGGGAAAATTATGGTAGGTCTATATGTCATAGAAGGACAAGAGTATTTTGCTAATACCATAGAAAATTTGCAGTGTTTGAGCAAAGAAGTGGATCTTTGGCATAAAAGGCTGGGACACAGCTCTATCAATGCTCTCAGACACCTTAGTTTCCTTAAAGGTGTTTGCTCAGATCAAAGGCTGAGTTCCTGTGACATTTGCCACAAATCAAAACAATGGAGGGAGTCTTTTCCCCTCAGCAACATACAAAGCAAAAGGAGGTTTGATCTGATTCATGTAGATGTTTGGGGACCATATCTTGAGAGATCCAAGACCAACACTGCTTACATGTTGACTATTGTGGATGATTACTCAAGGGCAACTTGTATCTTTCTTATGAAATACAAGTCTGAGACATATGAGCACATCAAATTCTTTTTAAACATGGTGGAAGTTCAGTTTGAGGAGAAGGTAAAAAGGGTCAGAACAGATAATGGGACAGAATTCATAAACAAAGATGTGGCTGAACTGTTTAGAGATAAAGGGATGATCCATCAAAAATCTTGTACATATACTCCACAACAAAATGGAGTGGTTGAAAGGAAACATAGAGTGATTTTGGAAGTAGCAAGATCTATTTCAAATTCAGTCAAACTTGCAAAAGGATCTTTGGCCTTATAGTTTATTGGCTGCAGTCCAAATCATCAATACACTTCCTAGTGAGAAATTGGGATGGAAAAGCCCTTATGAGATACTGCATGGTGAGTTGCCCACTTACAATATGTTTAGAGTTTTTGGATGCTTATCCTATGCAAAAAGAAACAACCCACACAAGAAGAAATTTGATGAAAGAGCAGTGGCCTGTGTTTTCTTGGGGTACATTTCTGGAGTGAAAGGATACAGGTTGTATGACTTAGAAGCAAAGGAGGTGTTTATTTCAAAAGATGTGCATTTCTATGAAAATGAGTTTCCTTTTTCAAGAGAGACATCAAAACACAAGTCAAGTGAACCTGGTGTGATCATGCCTACATTACTTGATGGACCAGCAGAAGAAGTGGGAGAATCTAGCCCACAAAATGTTCTTGATCACCTCAGATCAGAAGGTACAATAACTAATCCCAGCATGGATGAAGGACTACATAGTTGATGGTCTTTCCTCTGATGATGAGAATGAGGATGCAACCTTGTTCTTCACTGAGGTTGGAAAATCTATGTCAGAACCTGTGCACTATGAACAAGCAGCACAAGATGATAAGTGGATTACAGCCATGAATAAAGAGTTGGAAGCACTTAAAGTGAATAACACTTGGAACTCACACAGTTGTCTGCTGGAAAAAAGGCTATTGGTTGTAGATGGATATACAAAATCAAAAGGAACCCAGATGGAAGTGTAGATAAATTCAAGGCAAGGTTAGTGGCAAAGAGGTATCTACAGAAAGAAGGAATTGATTTCTTTGATAGTTTCTCTCCAGTGGCCAAACTGGTCTCTATGAGATTACTTATAGCCTTGGCAACACAAAGAAAGTGGGAACTACACCATATTGAT